AATCCGATAACATTTTGGATACGTGTGGACGGTCGAATCCGGATATTTTCTGATACGATGACCTCACAAAATTGGCGCCAGTGTTTACCGCGCAAAGTTAAATATGACCGCCGATCAAAGGCAAATAGTGATTTACGAAGCGATCTAAAATATTGCCATATTTACTCTGGCACGACTCCCAGTCAATGTTCTCCATAGATTTTGCGGCTTTGTACTATATTGTCACGTTCAATAACAACTCTACCTCGTCGTCGCTCCATATGAATGATTCTGGCTTGTTCCCCTCATTCTTCTTAGCTTTCTTGCCTGATTTCGACATGTTTTTAACTGTTTGAACTGGTGCACGTAAACTAAAACATCGAATTTCCGCGGCTGCTAAATGCCGTAGCGCATGTTCCGTAACCAATATGTCTGGAGTCATCTTGGGTACTAGAGTGAATCCGGAGTGAATCCGGATACGTGAGGACGGGCGAATTCGATTTGAATACGCTGTGATCACATAACGTGTGGGCGCGAATATTTTCGTATCCGGAAAGAAAAAGTTGCGGATTCAAACATATCCGGATACGTGTGGACGGGGCCTCAGAATGAAGGACCTAAATAAACTCGCACCCGGAAAGAAATCCTTGGAATCCTTGGACTTTCGGACAATAAAACCTGACTTACAGATATTCTACAGGATTATTAAGTGCGATTATCTTGTAATTCATTGTGGATAATTACGAATGCAAATTATCGAAAGCAGCGCCGTACAGGTATGTGAAAATCTCACATTTCCACTTCGCTTTATTTTTTTCCTGCGATAATAGACATAGATATTTTTACGGAATATGGTGCTCTACGGTTGTTGAGTGTGTGCAACTCCCGATATTTAGTTTTGTCCCTGTACGGAGAAATCGCAATTTAAAAAGTACCACTTTTCGACTTAGTCGAGTAGTGGCATATTTGACGCGACGACAGTCCTTACATTTATCAAGATACTCTACCTTTTTGATCGCACTTGGAAAGTTGATGTATTAAACTGTTGTATTCCAGAATATCTCTCGTATTGAATCATTTTTGACAGCGTGAGATCCTAATAAAGATTGCTCATTTTGTGTACACAAATGATGTCAATTTCACGATTCGACCTACGTGCGGTAAATTGTTAAAAAAAAAACAACTTTTGAAATCTGAGGGAAACCACTTTTGTTCCGATTATAGGCAATGGTTTCCTTATCCACGTGCAAAGTTTAAGGCAATATTTAATTTTGAACCAATTTCGAGTGGTCGGAAATTACAGAGACACGCTCTTAAGCTTCTTTTTAATTCAGGCCATCATTTTGCATTGAGGGAGGCACCGCAGGGATATATTTATTGACCTATTCTATTAAAGATAACAGTTTACGATTTGTGTTATCTGTCGACGTCAATAATCGTTCCTTCCCTTTTTTAAAGCATTTTTTCAATGGTATGCTTGTCTACTTTTCACAATCTTTTGATCATTCTTCATTTCATTGCTTTCTTTGAAGATTTTACCAGTCTTTCTATCGCGGATGGTAGACAAACTTCTTACTGCCATCAAAACTTTATTCCTAAGTATTTTTTACTTCTGCTGCGCAAGGTCACCCTTGCCATCAGGGCGCTTTCTTGACATTTCCCGTCCTCTCCACATTTCGAAAAAGAGTCCCGTAGGTCAGGAATCATTTTGATTGAGTGCATTTTGATTGATTGATTTATTCCTTCAGCGCCTCTGACTCCTACTAATATAATCTCTCATTGGATCTTAGGCAACGCAACAACCAAGTATTCTTGCTTGTTAGAGGAATTCTCGAGATATTTTTCTTCTTTACCTTATTTATTCTGCTGAAATTACAGGAATCGTTTTCCTAAGTAGTGGGTAACAAGCAATTCCAGTAGTATTTTTCACAAATTCTCGCTAGTATCATAACTTTCACTTTTATTGTGTTGTTATTACGCAGGATTTACAGCTATGTTTACAAATCTTGGTAAGGGTGGAAAGAACGGTCCTGAGTTGATTGGTGGTCATTACACAGGTCAGGATCATGACGGACAAGTTGCACTGTCCAGCGGTATTCAACGGTGGACTGTGCCACACACCGGTGAATACAGAATAGAAGCAATAGGAGCCTCAGGGGGGTTCAGTGAGGATAGTATCATCAAGAACGGAGGAAGAGGGGCACGAATGATTGGAAACTTTCATTTGACCAAAGATGAGATCATAAGTGTCCTTGTTGGCCAAAAAGGGAAAAGAGGGAGTCACAACAGTCAAACTGCTGGAGGCGGAGGAGGTACATTTGTAGTGAGAGGAAGCAACACGCCTTTGATCATAGCTGGAGGTGGAGGGGGAATTAAAAAAATGTCAGAACAACATCCGGGATGTGATGCCTCCATAAACACCACAGGGAATGCTGGGAATAACTCGCCATTGGGATCGGGAGGAAGCAATGGACATGGAGGACAAAAAAATGGTTGGAATTCTGGTGGGTGGTGAATTTTCTGTTTACAAATTCTGAGTTTTTATTTCGTTGCATTCGCTGCCATCCCTCAGGATCCTCAACCAAATGACAGCCTAAGTCGCTCATAATCAGACTTTGAAGGGTTTTTAAAAACCGTAATTATCAAAATGATTAATTTTAATAACACCTTTGGAAGCGCTTCAGACAAGACTTGAAACTGATTTTGTTTAATTTGGCTTTTTCCTTTTTTAAATTTCCCACATATTTATTCCATTCAGGAGATGACATCGAAACAGTTGACAAGGCTTCTCGTTTGTTAATTGCGGATCTGGATCAGACAAAAGGAGTTCATTGCAGTATTTTGAAGCTGACTTGTCCTCATAAGCTTTTCTTTTACTAACAATATCCAATAATTAAACCTCCTTAAAATCAAGAAATAAACTTAGTTGCGAATTATTGTTTGATCGCAAGAAATTAAATATATACTTGCTATTTGTAAGAGAACCACTGATCAATTTTTTATTTTATTGTAGGTGGTGGTGGTGGCGGCTTCTACAAAAATGGACAAGATTCAACGTGTAAAATGCAGCATTGTGGGGAGAAGGGGAAAGGAGGTTTAGGTTATCATCAGGGGGGAGAAGGTGGACAGAATAGAGGTGGGTTCGGAGGTGGCGGTGGTCTTCGCACAGAAAACAGGGGACCGGGCGGAGGTGGAGGTTACTCTGGGGGAGGTGCCGGGGCTAATAAACATATTTCCTGTGGGGGAGGGGGAGGATCTTTTAACGTTGGTACAAATCAGTGCAATGAATGTTGCTATAATAGCACTGGTCATGGCTGGGTAAACATCACATTTCTTCGATGACGAGCACCTGGCAACACTTTTGTTAACGTTTATTGGTAAACTACTTTCGCTTAAACGTTACCTTACTGCAAATACAGTCTCCAATTGGTCACTAAATAAACAGGGAAAGATTAAGCGCTTGTTAGTATTTTGCTCAAAAAAAAGGTTGTGAAGTTAGTTCTTCATATTCTTGTAGATTTAAATTACCCCATTTCCTTGAATAAGCATTCGCCAGGCCCTCATGCAAAATGTCGGCTAAAAGGAGGGGTGCTTATGGGAAGGAGGGTACTTAATCGAGGGAGGGCGCTTAAATAGAATCTATTAACCTGTATTGGATCCACTGTAGCTGAAGCTTAAAAAGTTCTTCATAAGGCGGCAATACAAACAGGTTTTCCTTGTATTCCTGCTATTTGAGAACTGAGGGAGGCGCTTGTTTGATATTATAAACAAGGGGTCAGGCTTGTCCCGATATATTTTGGCCTATCATCCGTTATTATATTAGACAAGGATCGCAATGGGCCTGCGAAACGTTGTATTCAAAAGGTTGATAAACATCCACGAAATTTGCTTAAATTGAAGTTTTCTATGAAATTGTTGGCCTTTTTCGTACTTGACACGTGCCCTGAACCTTAACTATGTTGAAAAATTTCTTTGAAAGGCAAAACTTGCTTCAGTTTGTTAGAACCACAAAAAGTTGCTGCAAATGCCAAAAGTTGCTCAAACGTTGCTGAGTGCAAACGAGGCCGGCCTAGTGGGCGCTTGCTTGGGGAGGACGCTTCTTAGAGCCTGAGCGCGTATGCGAAGAAATACGGTATTGCATATCTAGAAAAGACGTTCAAGTTTATCACGCAATCACTGCTTTCCTTGATCAGCTCAAACTTAACTCAATTCTTAATTTTCGTACGACCAGTTAGACCCATTAGTATCTTTGTTTGTCCACCCTATGGGCCAACTGAACTTTTTTTTTCCATTGGCGCTGGTTAGAAACTTTCCTCAAAAACGATGGCACGTTCAAGTTTAGGCAAAACTTTATTTACTTGTTAGATTGTCATTTTTCTGCTAACATCTAGAATAAATTTTCAAGTGGTTCCTGTGCTCTTTTACTAAAGTGGAAGAGAATGCTATACTTGACATAAAGAAATGAAGTTTGTGCCTGATAACGACTAGAAATTAAATATCTTGAAAATCCTACTTGCTTCTAAATGCACAAAAAAATTGGGAAATAGCTTTGTGCGAGTTACAGAAAGGATCTCTCAGTTTTAGTGTTGACCAAATGGTATTTACGCATAGTTTTAACTTAATTCACTATGGTAACAT